GAAAATAATTATATTTAAAAAAAAAAATTTTAATTAATGTGTGAAATGCTTTGTGTGAAATTTGTGTGAAAGATCATGTTTTCTGAAAAACTGAACAAAATTAAGTGAGTTCCCTTTGAATTAAGGGAATTAATTAATTGTTTAATTAATTGTTAGTTGAATTAAGTCCACTGGCAGATATTTGTTCTTTTTAATCAAATTTACTTCATTTTGATTAATTTGTCATTTTGCTTCTCAAGTAAATGTATATTGATTTAAGAATCTTTAGACATTTGTGGTGGAAAACGAGGTTAAAATACTGATAAAGAACATCACTATTTTTGCAGTATGATCAGAAGTTATAGTAAAAGCCATTTTTATATTCTAATGATTGGGAGCAGAGCCTTAAGTTTTTTTTTGTTTTGTTTTTTTTCAAGTAATGGTAATCAGTATGAAGTTGTATCTTCAAACTTGGAAGTGTTGCTAATACAACTCTGTGATACAACATTGTGATGTTCCCTTCAATTAATTCCTTAAATTCTTTACTTGGTCCTAAAAAAGTCTTTAAACAGTCTTAATTTTAACTCCATAAAACTTGCAGACCCTAATCAAGAAAATAATTATATATATAAAAAAAAAATTAATGTGTGAAATGCTTTGTGTGAAATTATGTAACTGCCTTTGCATTAGTAAAAGGAATGATCATATGTGACCTGTGCTGGCAAAATGAGTCACAATGAGCAAATTTTAAAAAATGAGTTAATTTTTATGTTTACTTTTTCCATTAAAAGACCTTCAGAATAGGGCTGCACGATAAATCGCATGCGATATTTAATGCGCATCTTGTTAGTAAAGCCAATCTGTAATCAGCGTAAATCCGTTGTTCACCGACAAGCTGCGCAAAACATGCGCAAAATATGATCTTGGTTTTTTTTGCGCAGCTTGTCAGTGAACAACGGCTCTGTGTGGTTAATGCTGCTCCATGTGAAAGCCCGCAGGTGATGGAGATTTACCGCTGATTAAAGAACCGGCTTTACTGACAAGATGCACGTTAAATATCGCATGCAATTTATCGTGCAGCCCTACTTCAGAATGATGTATGATTTGTTGGAATCGGACAAAAAAAAAAAAACAACCGAGCTACTGTACACCTGTTTGAAGTCAATAGAGTCAGCGAAGTCAATTTTGAGAAAAATCGAGTTAAAGTTTTCTGAAGGTTCCAAAGCAAAATCACCTGCAGCATTGCATCTTTTCCTCCACTTCTTTTCTTAACAATAATTAGCCTGCTATATTAATAATCACAATACAGCTATTTTTATTTTATCTTTGTTATTATAAATAAGAACAGATGCAAAAAAAAACAACAGTAGAACAAATATAAGAAAGAAACAAATAATGCATTACCTTTTTCATTTTACATCTAAACAAAAAGCATTCAAGTAAGAAAAACAAATAATCAAATGTAAAAAACTGCTACAAAAGCAGTTCAATCAAGAGCAGTGAGTGATTCCCTCTTTTCTTTTTTTATTGTTAGATTAATATTAATGAGGCGGCCTGTATTAAGACCTGCTGTAATGCAAGGATCTAATATAATGTTACACATCAGATGTTTTTCCCCAACAGTTCCCCAAACGTTCACTTAAGTTAAGACATAACAGATTATGTTTGTGTGAATACTTAAATACTGTAATTCTGTGTATATGTGTATATTTATCGGGATCGCACACAGTCGGAAGTGCCTTTATGCGCACGCTTTGGATGACTGTCAGCGTGAGAAACAAGTGGAGAAAAGGTACTCCTCTCAGAAAACGTACAGATAAAGGTAATCAAACATCTAAAATTATTATTTGGAGCATTAGGATCACTAGACGAGGGCTTAACTCATTTTTGTGAAAACCTCAAAATCGAATTTTTCACTTTTTTGCCTGTAGCTCAAAATTAGCCCATGCACATTTCGACTCATTTTGCCAGCACGGGTCACATATTTATGATCATATTTAGGGGTTCTCATAATTGAAATGTTTTAAACCCCTTACTTATCCAGTCGCTTGTTTATGAAGTATTGTGCTGGGTAGCTGTTTTAATGTGGACAGAAAAATTACCCGACTCGTGAAACTCAGCTAGCTGGGACAGAGTGTTACATTTAAAAATTCTGCTTCTGATGCCGTTTTAAAATAACTGTCGTCTTCAATCTCCATCAGGCAATGGCTTCCTAAATCCAAGATGGTACCGTTCGGAATCGACAAGACCTTAGACAGAAGCAAAATGTTGGAAGGCAGAACGTCAGGCCTCCGTAGAGCTGTGCAAAGCGCCTTCAACCGTGCCATGAACCACTTGAGCCTTGTCCAGGACTTAGGTGCTGGAGATTAATGGAGATCCATGTTGGAGGGTTTCATCAAGCCCCACATTTACCCAACGCTACGCTCCTGTATCAGACTGGCCCTTCCTGCCAATTCTGTTAGGAGCCGGCGAGCTTCTCAACGGACGAATGTGAGAGCACCTTCACTCTCCTGTAATGTGCTGCAAGACTGCTGTGAACTCACACACTGCCATCTACTTTCCTTTACACTTCCATCACCATCCACGATACTCCTTGTTTAACTCTGGCTGTATATAACGTCATCCTAAATTATCCAACACTAATTTATTATTTTTTTGGTTTGTACCACACACAACCTCCTGGAAGATTTCTACTCCAAGGTAATTTCTCAACCGCACTGAGGTGCGAACCCATCTGGTGCTACATCACGTGCAAAGCCTTGATTTTTCCATGCTAGAGACTTTTGGAAGGGGCTGTCGCACTTACTGTATCAAACTTTTGTTGTTTTTCTTTTTTTAACGTTAAGTTATTGTAATGTCAATGCAAGCTTCTCCTTGGCATTAACATGTTATCTACTTTTTTTATATAAAAATATTCTTATGGGACACAACTAAGTGATGTTTGTAAATATTTATATAAAGCTAAGAAATTATATACATGTAATACTTTAGAGTGGGTAAAAAAAAAAATTAGGAGAAGAGGAAACAACAGTAGCGATGAAAGCCAAGAAGTGCATCACTCATGCAAAACCAAAAATGTTGCTGCCCAGTTTTTTCTTCTTTATTTTAGAATGTTTATCTCTTTTTTTTTTCATATTGGTTTGTGTGAATGTTTCAGGCAGATAGTATGAAAAAAAATCCCCCAAGTTGTTGCTTTTTTATTTTACTGTGCTCTCGGGAACTGTATTGTAGGTCTGAAAAAAGATGTGCCTGTACAAATGTGTTGTATTAGGACAAAGAAAAGTATGCAAAACTTTATATTCAGAGTAGGCATATTTTGGTGGAAGCTGTGCTTGCCTTTTTTTGCTTTGTGTGTGGGTGTTTTAATCATAGCCATCTGTTGTGACTGTTTAACTGTGTCTCTCTCCAGTATGGATTCTGGGTAGCATTCTGGGTTAAAAACACTTTTTGTATGAATGTCTTGTATTGACCGGTACTCTTGTTTCTTTTCTCTGGGAGGATCACATTATAGCCAATGATAGTGAGTGCTGGCGAGATCCAGTATTTTTAAGTACACTGAAAATAAACACAAAAAAATTACAAATCTTTTTGATGGTTGATTTCTTTTTTTTTTTTCCTTGAAGGTAACCTCAACTGTAATCTTGCGTTAGAAAGGGTCTGCCTTTGACTGCTAAGTTTGTTGTCCCACTTTAAAAATAAGGCAATTTAGAAATTAGCCCCTTGTTTTTTCTCAATTCTTTTAATCATATCTAAAGGTTTTTTTTTTTCGTTCTACACTCTAAAAAATGCTGGGTTAAATACAACCCAGTGCTGGGTAAAATAGGGACAAACCCACAAAACAACCCAATTGCTGGGTTTGTCCCTATTTTACCCAGCACTGGGTTGTATTTAACCCAGCATTTTTTAGAGTGTACAAATCAGTTTTATTTTGGTATTACTGAGATACTATGATGGTGTTTGTTAATATTTTAAATTTAGTTTTTTCTTTGTTTAATTTTAGTACATTTAAAATGACAGATGTTGCCTTCGTTGAAATATATATTATTTATATAATATATATTTTATTTCAGTTGAGGTTTATTTCAGGTAACAATTTCAAATGGTTTTAGTTTCAGTTAATCTACTAAAAAGTTAATTTTATATTTATATATAATTTATTTACGTTTTAATTTATATACAATGTATTTTCAGAAATGAAAATCTTATGTTAAATATATTTTGCAAGCTATTAAAATCTGAGGTCTCCCACGCATTAATGGCAGCACATCACTAGATGGCGCTGTTGAACCGAACACAGTGTTGATGGTCGTGCTCCGGATGGTCCGCCCGGCGGGACCCCCACCCCCAACAAAAGCGGTTGAGCTCTGACAGAATGTGATTGTTAAAGATCTCTTCCAAACGTTAATAATATTCCAGCAGGGTCAGCATTGCCGGTTGTAAAGCAGATTAAATAGGCCTTTTATTCCGGATCAGCCTGTTCCAGAGATGTCTGGCTTGTCAACCAACAAGCACTGCTGTGCAATATCTCTCTGTCTCGTCTTCATCTGCTCGTCTCGTTCTGTGTGTCTGTTTATCACAGTTTGCATTTTCCACTGGTGTGCTTTCATCTGCAAACATACCAAATTAAAAAAACGTGCCTCTGTCTCCTCAATCAGTGGAAACTCCGTTTAAACAGCCTTTAAAATTGATGTGATTAGATAGGTTGAAACAATCATCCGTCCGTTTTATCCTGTCTAAGATCATATAGTGCCTTTTATATCTTTTTTTATAGTATGAATTTGACTGGCTGACTGTATGTTTCTGCTTATTACTCGGTTACTTAACAAATACATAAATACAGAGACATGAAATATGAATTTGAGTTGAATTTATTCTATTGCGTGGAAGCAAGAAATCACATTATGTATTATATATTATACAATATTATATTAAGTAAATACTATTCGTGGCCCGCGTTCAGATTAGGCCTATTTGTTTGGGTTTTCTGCACGTCAGTCGTTTTGCGCGGCCACATCGTCAAGTCCATAAATGGAAAGGCGGAAGCTGTTTTTCATGACTTTGAAGTGTGCGAAATATTTTCGATTTCTCTTCTGTCAGCAACGGTTTACTAAGCCAAACCACCTAAAAGGAATTGGAAGATCACACATAGAGACCAAAAACAACAACACAACAACTGTTCTTCGCTGAACTGAGCTGAGAGATTCAACGCGCTTGAAAACAGACGCCGAAGTTGTGGTTTTTCGGCTTAACAGGTAATATTTATTCTGTAAAATTCAGTGGCTAACCTTTTAGAACCGCTAGCATCGCATTTATAGCATTTGTTAAGAATATCTTAAGCACCCGTCTAACCGTTTTTGAAACTTTAGTGTGTTTTCTCCGGTTTATTCATTTCTGTGTGTGGATTTTGGGACTTTTCACTATCTGTATCACTCCGCTTGTCCATTTTTTTTTCCAACTTACCAGATAAATCTGCATTAATGTTGGGAGTTTTTGCGTCTTTTTATGAGTCATTCCTTCAACCGATTCGTTCATAAAAACTGATTCATTCTGGAACAAAACCGTTGGAGACCTTAGAGACGCAACTGTTCATTCTGATGTGGCTTCGTTTGGAACTACTTTCGTTGGTGGAGTACAATTAGAGAAAGTATTTCTAAAATAAAATCAAATACAATTATATTTTATTTTTCTGTCTAAAATAGGTAATATGTTGACATAGTGAAAGGGGTTAGATTGATAATAATTACTTGTTTGATATGGCAGTGTCTGTTATTTAAAAGCATGAGGTAAAAATCTTAAGTGTAAGCAAACAACACATCACTTCTTTTCACTTCACCAGACATTAATTGATGGACTGGAGTCCTGTGGATTACTTATGGATTATTGTGATGTTTTTATCAGCTGCTTGGACTCTCATTCTGACGGCACCCATTCACTGCAGAGGATCCACTGGTGAGCAAGTGATGTAATGCTAAATTTATCTAAATCTGTTCTGATGAAGAAACAAACTCATCTTCATCTTGGCCCGAGGATGAGTAGATTTTGAGCAAATTTGAACTATTCCTTTAATTAAAGAAGTACACAACAATTTGTGAAGGCTGTTTCAATATATAAACAAGTACTATGTCTTACCAATATGCTGATTGCTTTTAGAAATGATACCAGCAAGATAAATAATGACATATCTGTCAGCAATCAAACGTCCCAGCATCCCTGTTGTGGGAAAACCGGATAGACAAAGCAGCCAGTTTTAACAAACCCCCTAAGAAAACCTTACATCTACATTTATGACTTTCTTTGGTGTGTGCAGCTGCTGGACACAGGCCTATAGCTCAGTCTCTACAGGGTTTCCAGAGTTAAAAAGTGAAATCAAACCAGTCTTCAGTATGTGATCCAAGCCTTGCTGTAGCTCAGAGCAACAAGAAATGCTGTTCTCCTCAAACCAGCAAAGGCACTGGAGAGCCGTGCCTGATTAGTGATTATCTGTTCTGAATAATTAAATCTAAATTAATATTTAAATACACATAAATGTATTTACAAAGAAACAAACTCCCCACTGCACTAAAGAGCAGACCAGAAGTGTAATCTATCATTTATTTAGTAGCACTAAACTGGGTATCTGAATCTAATTTGGAAACCTCCAAAAGCATGCAGTCATAACCAAACGGTTAAAAAGAATATGAGTCAAGGGCTTTTCACAAGGTTTTCTCTTAAAATATATCTGGATAAAACTTGATTTAAACAAGCTGGATAGAAGTTCATATATAATATTGGATTAATCTTTACTTAAGGTGAGGTAACGCTGACGTCATATATAACATGAAGGTTATGAGATATGTAGGTTTTTGACTTTTTAACATTTTATGATAGATGGTCTTTGGTTTATTTGCGAGCGTTTATTTAATTAAAAAAAACATTAAATACTCTTTGCCTTTGCGTAAAAGTTACTTCAAAATAACATCAACATCCATGAGTTCAGATGTGTCCTATTAACAAGGCCGGACGCCTGTTGTTTATCGTTGAACAGATTTGCATTGATGTTTGTTTCCATGACATTCTCCAAGGTTAGTATTGATTTCAGAGGCTTGATTTAGAGAAGAACAAGATAAGTTTGACAATATTATTGATTACATCTCAGTCAAATGTACAGTATCCTATCTTTACACCATTCATCCCATGACAAACCCAATGAGAATGTTTGCAATCCAACATTTATCTGATGCATACACATATACACAACCCCATGATCAAATTAAAGTGTCTGTTCAACGCGCCACATTTATATACGCATATTCAGTTCGATTTTTGATGGGGTTTGTTATGATCTTATTATTCGATGTTTATAGAACTTTGTATTTTCTGATTAACATTGATAAATAATGTTGTAAATGCTTTAATATTAATATATACGAAACAACTTGAACTGAAAAAAAAAACGGCTTTGTACTGCACTGTAAAAAAAAGATTTTTCAAAACGTAAATAATGCATTAGATATTATTTATATTATTATTATATTATTTAGATTATTGAAGTATGTTTTACTCTTTTTATGCTATTTTAGTCTTTCTACTTGAAAATTGTTACTTGTAGTTGCTTTGTAGTTATTTGTGAAATTTCTGATTGAAAGTTTCAAAGTAAACCCTAGACCAATTTTTTTTTTACTAGCGTACTAGTGATAAGTGTCATAATAACCCAATTAAAAAACGCAATGAAGACTTAAATTTCACCAAAAGTGACCTTTCATGGACAGCTGGTCAATAATTTGTATTGTCTTAAATGAAAAAACAAACAAATCATTCCAAATATGACTAAATGCTGTAATAAATTTAAAAAATGTGTTTAAGTAAAATAATGAAATAAATTTAATTTAAATAAAATTAAAATAAAATATTTAATTAAGTGATAATAAATAAATAATCATTTTCTCAATGAATTATAAGGTCAATTTTAAAGGGGTCATATGACGTTGCTAAAAAGAACACTATATTGTGTATTTGGTCTAATGAAATGTGTTTATGCGGTTTAAAGTTAAAAAACCACATTATTTTCCATATAATGTACATTATTGTTTCTCCTCTATGCCCCGCCTTTCTGAAACGCGTCGATTTTTACAAAGCTCATCGTTCTAAAAAAGCGAGGTGTGCTCTGATTGGCCAGATTGGCTGATTGTAAGTGCGTTGTGATTGGCCGAATACCTCAAGCGTGTGACGGAAATGGCGTACTGGAGACGCGAACCGTTTCAAATGATTCAGTTCGATTTGGTGAACTGGTTCGACCGGTTCACTAAGAAGATACGGTTAAATAGAACGATTCATTCGCGATCCGGACATCACTAGACGAGACAAAACCAATAAAACTCATTACAAACGAGGCATTCTTTGGATTTGAGACTTTAGTCTTTGCAACTTTACAGATCTTCTTTATGCACCAAGAGCTTGTAACACTCCAAAGAGAAAGGAAAACTTGAAATCGCATCATATGACCCCTTTAATTCTTAAATTCAGCATAAAATGGAAGTTGTGACTGACTTGACTTCACTACCATACTGTGACATTTCTCCATGTGAAATGGCTATTGAACAAGAAAAAATAGGCTTGGACTTGATTTTATTCGTTGGTTCCTGATTGAAATGTTAAAAAGTGAGCACTGCATACTAGAATGGCGGCACATATGAATGAGATTGGTTTAACTGAAGTGTGGAATTACATACATTAGCAGAGAGAAGTGAGCATATTACAGGAACATTACATGTACTAATGTCTAATATTTATTTAGTGCATTTTAGAAGCAACAACAACAACACACTCTTCAGTAGTGTATGTAAATGCCCTTAACCTATAGTATTATCTACATCTGATACAGAGCATTATGGTTAAGCTGTACTCAAGCCCGGTGTTTTCAACAGCCTGTCTTAGGCCTCTTATTTATCGCCATTTCTTGGAAAGGAAGTATAATGAGCATCATCAGACTCTGATGAGAAATATAATTAGTCAGATGGGGAAGATTTCTGACATAATTACAGTGGCTGTTTCTGTCCGCTCGAATTAGGAATCAAGGAAATTTGTTAATAGAGTCTGAGGCGATGGGGTCCCATCGTGCACAGAAAATTGGACGTATTCCTGGAACGAAACAGACAAAAGTTTAAAAACTGACATGATGTTGTTAAAAGTTGTATGCAGAGGTAATGCAGTATTGAAAATACAAATGAATCCAGCCCTCACTGCCATACTGAGAATAACAACTACTGAAACCCCTTAAAGAATTGGTTTGAATTCAACACAATATGTACTGGTTTTTAATTATAATCCCTACAAATTTCATTTACCTTGTAATTCACATCTTCATCTTTAACGTGTACTTCATTTTGCTTCTCTGTAAAGGGAAACTTAACCATTTGAAATGCTGCAAAATGACTCATCATTAATATCTCTATCTTTTTTGTTCTGCTTAAAACCGTGAAACACCATTTCATGGTTCTGTGTTAAATAGACAATTTTCCCTATAGTGACTCATCCTGGATTATGCTTGCTTTTAACTTTACTAAATCAACACCTCCTTCAACCAATTACAAATTATATAATTATTCAGTATTGTTCAGGTTTGACAGGTTCTTGTTTAAAGGTGCTGTATGTAAGTTTTTGACTCTATTAAAGCATAAAAATACCATAATATGTTTGCAGATATTTAAGAAACATGCTAAGTTAACATACTTGTTTATCTGAAAAACAATGCTACAGTCAGTTATTCTCCTTTGAAAATATGCGTTCCGGGCCGGAATGTCGGCCTCCGTTTTGGTTTGTGAAACCCGCCCACTGCCAGTTTACCCAATTGTATTTTGGCACCCCGGGTTGCCAGTTGGCGGAAAACACAGAGTATTTCATTTCATTCATCGTCAAGTGCGCTCGTTCCTGTTGGTATCGTCAATCTAGCAACCTGCGTTTGTGTCAAGTCTGAGGAGGAGGGGCCGGGTGAAAAAAAAACCCTCCAATATTTTGAATTTGGACTGCAATACCTAGTTCAACCACTCGGTGTCAATCCTACATAAAGCACCTTTAAAGGGTTCATATGATGCTATTTTAAAGATCATTATTTTGTGTATTTGGTGTAACAGAATATGTTGACATGCTTTAATGTTCAAAAAACACATTATTTTTCA